AGATAGTTCCTATTATCTTGAGGTATGTTCCATGAATACCTAGCTTAGTGAGAGTTTTTAACATGAAGGGATGTTGAATTTGGTCAAAGGCCTTTTCTGCATCTGTTGAGATAATCATGTGGTTTTTGTCTTTAGATCTGTTTTTGTGATGAATTAGGTTTGTCAATTTTGGTATGTTGACACAGCATTGCATCCTGGGAACAAAGCTAACTCGATTGTGGTGGATAAGCTTTTCGATGTGCTGCTGGATTTAGTTTGCTAATATTTTATTGAGAATTTTTGCATTGATGTTTATCAGGGATATTGGCTTGAAGTTTATTTTATTTTTTGAAATTTCTGCCAGGTCTTGATATCAGGGCGATGCTGGTTTTATAGACTGGGTTAGGAAGAGGCCCCAGCTAGACGTGGTGGCTCACACTTTGGGGGCCATCACAGCCCCCAAATTGCAGCACTTTGGGGGGCAGAGGCAGATGGATCACAAGGTCAGGAGATTGAGACCATCCTGCCTAACATAATGAAACCCGTCTCTACTAAAAATATGAAAAATTAGCGGGGTGTGGTGGCACATGGCTAAAGTCCCAGCTACTCAGGAGGCTGAGGCAGGAGAATTGCTTGAACCCAGGAGGCGAAGGCTACAGTGAGCCAAGATCGCAGCACTGCACTCCAGTCTGGGCAAAAGAGCGAGACTCTTTTCTAAAAAAAAAAAATAAGAAGAGTCCCATCCTTTTCTATCATTTGCAATAGTTTCAGAAGAAACGGTTTCTTTTTGTTTCTCTTTGTACCTCTGGTAGAATTCAGCTATAAATTCATCTGGTCCTGGCCTTTTTTGGTTGGTAAGCTATTTACTGCCTCAGTTTCAGAACTTGTTATTGGTCTTTTCAGGGATTGAACTTCTTTCTAGTTCAGTCTTGAAAGGATGGATGGGTCCAGGAATTTATTAATTTCTTCTAGATTTTTCAATTTATGTGGATACAGGTGTTAACAGTATTTTCTGAACGTTGTTTTTACTTTATGGGGTCGGTGGTGATATCCCCTTTATAATTTTTTATTATCTATTTCATTCTTCTCTTTTTCTTTATTAGTCTAGGTAGCAGTCTATTAATTTTGTCAAAAAAATAAATAAATAAAACCGTTTCGGCCAGGCGTGGTGGCTCATGCCTGTAATCCCAGCACTTTGGGAGGCCGAGGCGAGCAGATCACGAGGTCAAGAGATCGAGACCATCCTGGCCAACATGGTGAAACCCTGTCTCTACTAAAAATACAAAAATGAACTGGGTGTGGTGGTGTTCGCCTGTAGTCCCAGCTACTCGGGAGGCTGAGGCAGGAGAATTGCTTGAACCTGGGAGGTGGAGATTGCAGTGAGTCAAGATTGTGTCACCGAACTCCAGCCTGGAGACAGAGTGAGACTCTGTTTAAAAAAAAAAAGTTCCTATTCATTGAATTTTTTTTTTTTTTTTTAAGAGTTTTTTTGTCTCTGTGGCTTTCACTTCCACTCGAATCTGGTTACTTCTTGTCTTCTGCTAGAAGGTTTCTTTGCTCTTGGTCTTCTCATTCTTTTAGTTATGACGTTAGAGTGTCCATTTGAGATCTTTCTAGGTTTCTGATGTGGGTGTTTAGTGCTATAAATTTCCCCCTTAACACTACTTTAGCTGTGTGCTAGAGATTCTGGTACAAGGAATGTCTCTTCATTCTCATTGGTTTCAAATAATTTTTTTATTTCTAATTTTTTTTTTAGATGGAGTTTTGCTCTATCTAAAACTATCTATTTAGTTTTAGATGGAGTGCAGTGGCATATCGGCTCACTGTAACCTCCACCTCCCAGTTTCAAGTGATTCTCCAGCCTTAAACTCCTGAGGAATTACAGGTGTCCACAACCACATCCAGCTAAGTTTTTTGTATTTTTAGTAGAGATGGTGTATCACCATGTTGGCCAGGCTGGTCTCAAACTCCTGACCTCAGGTGATCTGCCCGCCTTAGCCTCCCAAAGTGTTTGACAGAGTGAGCCACCATGCCCAGCAAAAGCATAAAGCACCCAGTATTCCCAGGTGGTCTCACATCCAAGTCTCAGCAAGGCCCAACCCTGCTTAGATACAGAGATCAGGTATGATCAGAAGGGTGTAGGCATAGATGCCCACTGCTGATTTTATTATTTAGCTAGAAGTCATTCAGGAGCCGGTTGCTCAATTTCTATGTAGTTGTGTGCTTTTGAATGAGTTTCTTACTTTTGAGGTGTTTTTTGTTTTGCTTTTTTGTAACAGAGTCTCGTTCTGTCACCCGGGCTGGAGTGCAGTGGCATGGTCTTGGCCCACTGCCACTTCTGCCTCCTGGCTTCAAGTGATCCTTGTGCCTCAGTCTCCTGAGCAGCTGCGACTACAGGCAAGTGTCACCATGCTCAGGTAACTTTTTATATTTTTGGTAGAGATGGGGTTTCACCATGTTGGCCAGGCTGATCCCAACCTCCTGACCTCAAGTGATCCACCCACCTCAGCCTCTTAAAGTGCTGGGATTACAGGTATGAGCCATCGTGCCTGGTGAGTCTTACTCTTGTGTTTTAATTTGATTTCACTGCAGTCTGAGAGACTGTTATGATTTCAGTTCTTTTGCATTTGCTGAGAAGTGTTTTACTTCCAATTGTATGATCAATATGTATATTTACCTGCCATGTGCAGCTCAGAAGAATGTGTATTGTGGTGTTTGTGGCTAGAGAGTTTAGTAGATAGATATCTATCAGGTCCATTTGACCCACAGCCGAGTTCAAGTCTTGAAAACTATTGTTACTTTTCTGTCTCACAGATCTGTCTGATGTTAACAGTGAAATGTTAAAAGTCTCTCACTATTATTATGCGGGAGTCTAAGTCTCTTTGTAGGTCTCTACGAATGTGTTTTATGAATCTGGGTGCTGCTTGAATTGATCTCTTTACCATTATTTAATGCATTTCTTTTTTGATGTTTGTTGGTTTGAACAACAAGTTTGTCTTGTCAGAAACTATGATTGCAACCCCTGCTTTTTTATGCTTTTATTTGCCTTGTAAATTTTCCTCCATTCCTTTACTTTGAGCCTGGGTTTGTCTTTTCCTGTCAAATGGGTCTCTTGAATACAGCATACATATGGGTCGTAACTGTATCCAGCTTGCCCTTCTGTTTCAGTTGAGGCATTCAGTCTATTCCATTTAAGGCTAATATTGTTATGTGTGGTTTTGATTCTGTCCAAATGGTGCTAGCTGCTTATTTTGAAGAGTTGTTGATGTAGTTGTTTTATAGTGTCATTGATTTGGTACTTCAGTGTGTTTTTGCAATGACTGGTAATGTTTTTTTCTTCCCATATTTCGTGCTTCTTTGTAGAGCTCTAGCAAGGCAGGCCTGGTGGTGATGTATTCCTTCAGCATTTGCTTGTGTGAGAATAATTTTACTTTTCTTCACTTATGAAAACTTAGTATTGTTATTTTGCTTTGTTTGCTTCTTGTATCTTTGTTCTTCATTCTCTTTTTCTGTCTTTGTGTCTTTTTTATACTTATCTTGATATGCTTTCACTTTTTTATTTTGTGTTGTGTATCTATGCAGACACATTGTTGGTGGTACCTTGGGGATTACACAGAGCCTCTAAAAGATACAAAAATGTATTTTAATCTGGTGAAAATGAACTTAAGCTGCATTCAAAATTTTTTTCTCATTATATCTGCCCTCAAATGTGTCATTGATGTTGCTAATTATATATATCATGTTGTATATTCATTAATAAATGTTTATAATGATTTATATGCTTTTATCTTTCAAATTTTAGAGAATAACTAAAAATGTTTTTGCACCATTATTATAATGCTAATAAATTCCATTTTTATGTATGTCCATTGTCTTCCCAGAAAATAAGGCATTTTATACAATTATGTGTTGTTTTGTTGAATCATGTTATTTTCAGTAAAAGCAACTGCTTTCAGCTCCGTTTATATTTAGGGCATATGAATTGCAATATAATTTTTCAGAATTTGGTTATGTTTTAAGGTCTTTTAAAAAAATTATTTGGCAGGATAGATATGTTGATGGTGTTATTCTCACTTGATAGGTATTTTCTTCAGGATGTTAACTATATCGCACAGTTTCTCTGTGGCCGGCACAGTTTCTCTGTGGCCGGCACAGTTTTTGTGGACAGTTCACCACCTATCTCATAAGACTATGCTTATAGGTGACACATCATTTTTATCTTGCAGCTCCATTCTCTTTTCTGTGACTTTTGAAATTGTTCATATATATATTTTTGTTAGAAATATCTTTGTGTGTATCCTAGTTTGTTTGTTGAGCCTCATTATTTTGACATTTTTTCTTTTGGAATTTTTTTTTTTTTTTTTTTTTGAGACGGAGTTTCGCTCCTGTTACCCAGGCTGGAGTGCAATGGCACAATCTCGGCTAACCGCAACCTCCACCTCCTGGGTTCAGGCAATTCTCCTGCCTCAGCCTCCCGAGTAGCTGGGACTACAGGCGTGCACCATGATGTCCAGCTAATTTTTGTATTTATAGTAGAGACGTGGTTTCACCATGTTGACCAGGATGGTCTCGATCTCTTGACCTCGTGATCCACCCGCCTCGGCCTCCCAAAGTGCTGGGATTATAGGCGTGAGCCACCACGCCCAGCCTCAGAATTTTTTTTTTTTTGAGACAGAGTTTCGCTCTTGTTGCCCAGGCTGGAGTGCAATGGCGTGATCTCGGCTCACCACAACCTCTGCCTCCCGGGTTGAAGTGATTCTCCTGCCTCAGCCTCCCTAGTAGCTGGGACTACAGGCATACACCACTACACCCAGCTAAGTTTGTATTTTTAGTAGAGACAGGGTTTTTCCATGTTGGTCAGGATGGTCTCAAATTCCTGACCTCAGGTGATTTGCCTGCCTTGGCCTCTGAAAGGGCTGGGATTACAGTCCTCAGCTACCTTTATAATATAGGTTCAATTTGTAAAGTATGTTTATCTAAGCATAGTGAGTTTAACAATTTGTTGTTTTTATTTCTTTCAGCTATGTGTTCTTATTTTCCAAAATACCTTTGGTCAGAGCAAGACATAAAAGATTCTTTTCAAGAAGTGATACTGAGAAGGTACAGAAAATGTGGACCTGAGAATTTACAGTTAAGAAAAGGCTGTGAAAGTGTGGTGGATGAATGTAAGGTGCACAAAGAAGGTTATAATGAACTCAACCAGTGTTTCACAACTACCCAGAGCAAAGTATTTCAATGTGATCAGTATGCGAAAGTCTTTCATAAATTTTTAAATTCAAATAGAGATAATATAAGACAGACTAGAAAGAAACCTTTCAAATGTGAAAAATGTGACAAATCGTTTTGCATGCTTTTACACCTAAGTCAACATCAAAGAGTTCATACTGGGGAGAATTTGTACCAATGTGAAGAACGTGGCAAAGCCTCCAAGTGGTTCTCAACCTTTACTAGAGACAAGAGAATTCATATTGAAGAGAAACCCTTCAAATGCAAAGAATGTGGCAAAGCTTTTAAATTTTCCACAACCTTTATTGCACATAAAAGAATTCAAACTGGAGAGAAACCCTACAAATGTGAAGAATGTGGCAAAGCCTTTAATGAGCCTTCAAACCTTACTACACATAAGATGATTCATACTGGAGAGAAACCTTACAAATGTGAAGAATGTGGCAAGGGCTTTAACTGGTCCTCAAACCGTACTAAACATAAGAAAATCCGCATGGGAGAGAAACCCTACAAATGTGAAGACTGTGGCAAAGCTTTTAATCAGTCCTCAATCCTTAGTAAACATAAGAAAATGCACACTCAAGGGAAACCCTACAAATGTGAAGACTGTGGCAAAGCTTTTAATCGGTCCTCATTCCTTACTACACATAAGAGAATTCACACTGGAGAGAAACCCTACAAATGTGAAGACTGTGGCAAAGCTTTTAATCGGTCCTCATTCCTTACTACACATAAGAGAATTCACACTGGAGAGAAACCCTACAAATGTGAAGACTGTGGCAAAGCTTTTAATCGGTCCTCATTCCTTACTACACATAAGAGAATTCACACTGGAGAGAAACCCTACAAATGTGAAGACTGTGGCAAAGCTTTTAATCGGTCCTCATTCCTTACTACACATAAGAGAATTCACACTGGAGAGAAACCCTACAAATGTGAAGACTGTGGCAAAGCTTTTAATCGGTCCTCATTCCTTACTACACATAAGAGAATTCACACTGGAGAGAAACCCTACAAATGTGAAGACTGTGGCAAAGGTTTTAATTGGTCCTCAAACCTTAGTAAACATAAGATAATTCATACTGGAGAGAAACCCTACAAATGTGAAGAATGTGGCAAAGCTTTTAATCGGTCCTCAACCCTTACTAAACATAAGATAATTCATACTGGAGAGAAACCTTACAAATGTGAAGAATGTGGTAAAGCCTTTAACCAATCCTCAGCTCTTACTAAACATAGGAAAATTCATACTGGAGAGAAACCTTACAACTATGAAGAATGTGGCAATGCTTTTAATCCTTGAACCTTATTAAACAAATAATTTATGTTGTAGAGAAACTCTACGAATGTGAAGAATGTGGCAAAGCTTTTAACCATTTCTCAAGTCTTACTAAGTAGTACATTTATACTGTACAGAAATCCTACTAGTGTGAAAAACATGGTAAAGCCTTTAGTAAGCCCTCAATTCTTTTTTTTTTTTTTTGAGATGGAGTTTTGCTCGTTACCCAGGCTGGAGAGCAATGGCGCGATCTTGGCTCACTGTGATCACTGCCTCCCGGGTTGAGGCAATTCTCCTGCCTCAGCCTCCTGAGTAGCTGGGATTACAGGCGCACACCACCATGCCCAGCTAATTTTGGTATTTTCAGTAGAGACGGGGTTTCACCATGTTGGCCAAGATGGTCTTGATCTCTTGACCTGGTGATCTACGTGCCTCGGCCTCCCAAAGTGCTAGGATTACAGGCATGAGCCACTGCACCCGGCCAGTCCTCAATTCTTAACAGACACAAAATAATTTATACTGGAGAGAAACTGTACAAACCAGAAATACTTGACAATGCTTTTGACAACATCTCAAACTTTTCTAACCTAAGAGAAATTATCGTAGGGAGAAATCCTAGAAATCTGAAGAATGAGACAAGGCCTTTAAATGGTTGTCACACTTGATTTAGGTAAGATAATTTATACTATAAAACAGGCCTACACGTTTGAACAATGTGGCAAAACTTGTAACCAATGCTCACACCTTATTGTACAAGAAAGCCTTTATACTTGAGATAAATTATATAAAGACTGAAAAATCCATTTTCATATCTGACTCATGTCTTACTTGCTCACATCTCACACCACATGCTCACATCTTAACACCAGAGAATTTGTACTTAATAAAAGCATTATAAGTGCAATTTCTATCAAGATTTTTCAGAAAATACAAGCTTTCATAGTGAAGAGTATTTATTTTGAAGGTAAACATTACAAATATAAAGAGAGTTATACCTCTTTACTGGTATCATAGATTTTATTATAGACATTTTGTTCTAGAGGAAAACTCTGAAGTAGTTGCTCAAACTTTGTTCTGCATCAGGGGATTTATATTGAAGTTGTGCAGATGTAATAGATTTGGAAAAACACTTTTTCAAAGCCTACATCTTAGAAAATAACTGTTTATACTAGAAGATATTTTTGCAGATGCAGTAAAAGTTAAAAAAATTAATACATAATTAAGTCTATGCAAATATCAGAGTATTTATGATAGAAATATATAAGGCACTGACACATCAGATATCCTAAATCAGAGTGCTGAGTATAGAAAATCTAAAGTTGGTAGAGAAATTCTTTGTATAAAACTTTAAGAGAATCAGAAGGGTTTTTTGCAGGTATTATGACATTCAAAGTATACTTCTTAAAAATATTACAGATTTTTTGAGAAGTGAATAATAATGTCATTCAATCCTGAAATTATTCTGTTTCTTCATTTCTGTTTGACTCACACATGAAAGCATGGATCAATTGTTGCTGCATCAAAGATAGGTGACATTCTTTTTTGTTTTGCTTTGTTTTTTTCTTTTGAGAGGGAGTTTTGCTCATTCGCCCAGGCTGGAGTGCAGTGGCGCAATCTCGGTTCACTGCATCCTCTGCCTCTGGGTTCAAGCGATTCTCTTGGCTCAGCCTCTGAGTTGCTGGGATTACAGATGCGTACCATGACACCCAGCTATTGTATTTTTAGTAGGGTTGGGGTTTCACTATGTTGGACAGACTCGTGATCCATCCACCTCAGCTTCCCAAAGTGATGGAATTACAGGTGTGAGCCACTGCATCTGGCTTTTTTTTTTTTTAAGACAGTTGCTGGAGTGCAGTGGCACGCCTCAGCTCACTGCAACCTCCACCCCCTGGATTCAAGCAATTTTCCTGTCTCAGTCTCCCAATTAGCTGGGATTACAGGCACCTGCCACCACACCCAACTAATTTTTGTATTTTTAATAGAGATGTAGTTTTACCATGTTGGACAAGCTGGTCTCAAACTCCTGACCTTGTAATCCACCCACCTGGGCCTCTAGACAAGAAGTTCTTTTTTATTAGGTGGGCATTATTTATGATCTTTTCTATACAAAAGTGAAGACATTAAAATGTAAAATGCACGATGAAAATCTGAGTGGAGAGGCTCTTAGAGGTTAACAATATTGAGTGATGCATGACGGAGATGTTCAGAGTAATATTGTGCATTGTCATATGAAGACAACATGTTTAAAATTAAATTAGTATATTAACTACTTTTATATAATGAAATGCAGTACATTTTTAAAATTTTTGATTAATAAAGTTAATACTTTAATTCAAAATTTTTACATGTTAAACACTATTGTGCATTCAATGAAGCGTTATTAGGCCACAAACTTTAACCTCTTCCACCTTATCCAAGGGTATAGGTAAAAGATCATAACAATATACATAATGGATTAACATCTCTAGTAATTTTTTTTGCCAGTGGCTTTCAACTGCAAATAAGTTAAAGAATATTATTTCTGTAGGTTAAGTTTTTTTTTTTAAGATAGGGTTGCCGGGCTCGGTGGCTCACGCCTGTAATCCCAGCACTTTGGGAGGCCGAGGCAGGTGGATCACAAGGTCAAAAGATCGAGACCATCCTGGTCAACATGGTGAAACCCCATTTCTACTAAAAATACAAAAAATTAGCTGGGCATGGTGGCGCAGCCTGTAGTCCCAGCTACTCGGGAGGCTGAGGCAGAATTGCCTGAACCCAGGAGGCGGAGGTTGTGGTGAGCCGAGATCGTGCCATTGCACTCCAGCCGGGGTAACAAGGGCGAAACTCCGTCTCAAAAATAAAAAGATGGGGTTTCACCATGTTGGTCAGGCTGATCTTGAACTCCCGACCTCAGGTGATTTGCCTGCCTTGGCCTCCAAAGTGCTTGGATTACAGGCATGAGCTACCATACCTGGCCAGGTTAAATTTTTATTCTGTTTTTAATCATTTAAATTTATTTTAATCCTGGTGGGTACATAATATGAGTATACATTTATGCAATATATGGCTTATTTTAATACAGGAGTAGAATATGTAATAGTCATATCAGCATTAAGTGAGGCATCCTTCAGTGCTAGCATTTATCCTTCGTTTTACAAACAATCCAATTCTACACATATAAAAAATTTTCACAGGTACAAATTTTATTTACTACAGGGTTATTTTTATGGTCATAATAAAAATTATAGACAAGTATAAATATAATTCATTTTTAGATTCTTAATAAATGTTTTTTCAAACTTTATATATTTTTCTTTGAACCTGTGGCCTGTCTGCCTGCAAAAACATACAGACTTTTACTTTTGACTTACATAGAGTTAAATATATATTAGTGTAAAGACAAACCTTAGGTGTAAGAAAATTAGAGTGTGTTTGTATGAGTATGAGTTTGAAGAGAGCAAAATGGGAACAAAAATTACTTTAATTAAGGTGGCTACTATAAAACTAAAAAATCTAAAAAAATGCTGAAAGCAAATATATACTTTCTGCTTTGTATTGAATTTCTCCCTGCAAAATCCATGACTTACAGTTCTGCATCTTCCCAGGCAAATTCTCTGTATTTACTTGCCAAGTATTTATGCTAGACCCCTACTTTTTTTGTTTCTTGCATATTTTTTGTTTAATAGTTTATGAAGTATTCATTATGTGAACTGGTCTGTGATTGTAAGAATTTTTATTTATATTTATATTTATTTATTTATTTTTGAGACAGAGTCTTGCTCTGTTGCCAGGCACCAGGCTGGAGCACAGTGGCGCGATCTCGGGTCACTGCAACCTCCGCCTCCCGGGTTCAAGCAATTCTCCTGCCTCAGCCTCCCGAGTAACTGTGACTACAGGCGCGCACCACCATGCCCAGCTAATTTTTGTATTTTTTTTAGTAGAGACGGTGTTTCACCATGTTTTCTAGGATGGTCTTGATCTCCTGACCTTGTGATCCACCCGCCTCAGCCTCCCAAAGTGCTGGGATTACAGGCGTGAGCCACTGTGCCCGGCCAATAATTTTTATAAAATTTAGTACACTCAAAATAATTTTTAGATGTTAATTCTAAAATTACTGTATTGTTACACTTTCTTGAGTTGGTGCACTCTATTTTGTTCTTTTAATGGGAGAATAATATATAAGCTTTCTTTTCTTTAGTGATTGTTCCTTTCACTTTTTATAATTGACATAAGTATTTTCAACTAGTGAGTCCATTTGTTCAGCTAAGTACTAGACAGTCTTCATAAGTCATTTCAGGATTTTTTTTTCTTTTTTTTTTCAGACAGAGTCCTGTTGCCCAGGCTGGAGTGCAATGGTGAAGTGGCATGATTGGCTGACTGCAACCTCCACCTCTTGGGTTCAAGTGATTCTCAGCCTCAGCCTCCTGAGTAGCTGGGATTAGAGGCATGTGTGATGACAGGCATGCGTCATCATGCCCAGGTAATTTTTTTTAGTAGAGATGGGGTTCACCATGTTGGCCAGGATGGTCTTGAACTCCTGGCCTCAGGTGATCCACCCGCCTCTGCCTCCTAAAGTTCTGGGATTATAGGCTTGAGTCACCGCACTCAGCAAGTCATGAGGATGTTTTTATATATAAAGGTAGCAAACATACCTTGCAGGTTTTGCTGTGTAATAGATGCTCCATAATGATTCGCAAAGATTCCTGCTGCAGTTAGTTTGTAACTTCAACTCAGAGAAAGTAATTAATACTTTTACATAGTTAACATTTTTTGGTGAGATCATGTGACATTGTATTGTTTTTCAAAAGTCCAAATACATTATTATGAACTGTAGTCACCATGTTGTACAATAAATCTCTTGAAATTATTTGTCCTAGTCAACTGTAATTATGTATTATTTGACAGACATTTTTTCAACCCTCCATTCTAAATACCTTGACACGTGGTCCCAGCTACTTGTTGGAGGCTGAGGCAGGAGAATTGCTTGAACCCAGGAGGTGGAGGTTGTAGTCAACCAAGGTCGCACCACTGCACTCCAGCCTGGCGCCTGGTCACCGAGAGAGACTCTGTCTCAAACAAACAAACAAACAAAATAATAAATAGTATTCCATTGTGTATGCCTACCACCTTGTCTTCATTTACTTATTGGATGTTGAACTGTTTATTCTGTATTTTAACTATTGTGAAAAGTGCTGCAAACAACAGAAGTGTAAATGTTTCTTCATTCTGATATTATTTGTTTTGTATATATATCCAGTAGTGCAATTGCTGTATTACATGGTAGTTAAGTTTTTTGGGAAATCTCTATTTTGTTTTTCATAATGGCTGTCCTCATTCACATTCAAACCAAAGTCTGCAAGGATTCCCTTTTCTTCACATGTTTACCAACACTTTTTTCTTTTTAATGAGAGTCATTCTAACAGGAATGAGTTGATATCTCATAGTTTTTATATTTTGGCTTGCCTTTTTGTGATAATAATTGACATTGAGCATTTTCAAATATATCCATTGGACAGATGTGTATGTCTTGTCTTGAAAAATACTTATTTCAGCTACTTGCTTATTTTTAGTAGTTTTTTAATTGTATTGTCATTTGAGTTTTTAAAATATATTTTTGATATCAACCTCTCATCATATTTTTGTCAGTCTTTTAGTTGTCACCTTTGGTTG